GATGGAGTTGGACTGAGATGGATGGGTGGAGGTATGATGGAGGGGGATGGGTGGAGGGATGATGGAGAACGAGGGATGATGGAGAACGAGGGATGGAGTTGGGTGGAGGGATGGAGTTGGATGGATGGATGGATGATGAAGGATGGAGATGGATGGATGGATGGATGGAGAAGGAGGGATGGAGTTGAATGGATGGCTTGAGGGATGATGGAGATGGAGGGATTGAGATGGGTGGAAGTGGATGGAGGGGTGATGGAGGGACCGAGATGGAGGGATGATGGAGATGGGTGGAGGGATGATGGAGTGATGGAGTTGGATGGAGGGATGATGGAGAAGGAGGGATGGAGATGGGTGGAGGGATGAAGATAGGTGGAGGGATGGAGTTGAATGGATGGAGGGACTGAGATGGAGGAATGGAGATGGAGGGATGATGGAGAACGGGGGATGGGTGGATGGAGATGGATGGAGTTGGATGGATGGAGGGATGATGGAGATGGGTAGAGTGATAGAGATGGATGGAGGGATGGAGATGTGTGGAGCACATTTAACTTGAGACCGTGTTGCATTTAAGTGCTGCTGGGTCATCTGATTTTTGGTTATTTTTTCCTTTGTTTATCACATTGTCTTAACTCTGCAGATTATTACAGAGAGCCTGTAGGCTCATAAATCTATACACATTTATCTTAATGTTTAAAGGTAAAGTTTTTCCTGTAGCCGTTAATGAACAGAATAAACTCAAGAGGACGTTAACACCCAGATGTCCCAGCTGCACTCAAACGCACCAAGTTGGCATCGCGTTTAACTTTAGACCATGTTGCATTTAAGTGCTGCTAGGCCATCTGAGTTTTGGTTATTTTTTCCTGTGTTTATCAAGTCATTATTTTGAAAAGATGATGTCTTAACTCGGCAGAATATTACAGAGAGCCTGTAGGTTTAGGGGAGAACACCCTGAGCCTCACTAGTCTCGTTTTGATTTGAATGTTGTTCCTTTAAAGTAGGGAAACGCCTAAAATCTAGCAAGCCGCCATTGGAAACAATCAATCAATCACGGCTCAGAAATCTATACACATTTATCTAAATGTTTAAAGGTAAACCTCTTCCTGTAGCTGTTAAACAACAGAATATGCCTGGGGACAGGCATTGAGAATTAGCCTTAGCTAAAATGTTATAGTGTGTGACATGTTTCATGAAACATACTTGTCCCTATCAAATAAACGAATAAAAAAATAAAATAAAATAAAAACTCAGAGGACGTTGATGTCTAGATTTCCCAGCTGCACTCAAACGCACCACGTTGGTGTGAACTTCTCTGAGCTGGAGGCAGCCTCGGACTCCCATACGCACCAAGCCGGTGTGTTTAGGGACCGGTCGGATTTGGGAGCGTGGGGTCTGACAGCAGCTGGTGTTTGCGTCCACAGGAGAAGCTGATGGGTCACCTGGGGGTGGTCCTGTACGAGTACCTGGGAGAGGAATACCCCGAGGTCCTGGGCAGCATCCTGGGGGCCCTGAAGGCCATCGTCAACGTCATCGGTACGTCCATTTTCATTTGATCCAAAACAAACTCTAACATCAGGATGCCGTACGGAGACCCAAAATGTTCAGAGGAGATTTAATCGCCTGCTTTGCATGTGGTGACATCACTTAAGGCTCTTTCCACT